GATCCCTGGAGCGGGAAAGAGTCTCCTGGATACAGTGTCACATGGCAGTGAGCTGTCGCGCAGATAAATGATTAGGCATTAATCAGGCACTAATGTCTTGAGGCTCAGGCTGGGCCTTATTTTGAACCGGGAGCAGTAAACGGCTCCCCTTTGCAAAGGCCCAACTTTTTCCCTCAGTGGAGCCCAGATTTTGTGCCGGCGGCGGGGGTGTGGCAGGAGGACCATCCCCTCTCAGCGGCCACTCTGCTGGCATCATCTCCTCATTAGATGTGCCAGAGCCATTTATGTGCAAGTCACGTGATTTAACATACGGCGTCCCAGGTGACTGTCGCCCTGCTGTGCGCTGGCTGCTGCAGAGAGTGCTTGGTGGGACCTAGTGACCCTCCGGGGCTGCAGCATAGCCGCTTGGAAGCCGCCAAGCCTGTCCCCCGGGGCGGCTGAGGGTCCCTCTGCCACCGATGGCCACCGCTTCCTCTGCCGGCCTGCTCCTGGGCCTGTGCAGCCCTGCCTGGCAGGAGAGGTCCCCCCACTCTTCGTTTTATGGGCTCCCTGACTCAGGGCAAGGGAGGCTGGGGGTGTCGGCAGGGGCTGCTGGCCCCCCGCCCTTGGTCTCTGCCTCCAGGCAGGGCTCCCGTCCCTACAGCCCGTGGCTAACCTGATGTGGAGATCTGCACCGCCCCCCACCCGCTTCCCCACCCCCTCGTGGAAGGAAGCAGGCTCTGCTGGGATCCCAGCATGGGAACTGGCAGCTGTAGGACGTGTGGGCGGCAACCCTGCCATGGCCACATAAGGCTGTAACCGGAGCCGCCCACAGAGCCAGGAGCTGGGCCTCGGTGGGCACAGCTCTGCTCGGCAGCTCCTCTTTCTGACTCGAGTGGGGTCCCCCCGCCTGCCCCCAGTCCCTGAAGAGAACCTGAGGAGAGACCTGGCCTCTCCCAACCCCTCCGGTGTCTTGGCTTGGCCCCGAAGCTGCCCCTGTCCCTGCCCACCCCACCTCCCCTCTGCGGGTCGCCTCCAGTTTCATCCTGATCCCAGTTTTCTACCGTGATACTGTGAATTGCACCGCTCACGTTTACAGCCGGCTTGTCGGACAGGGTCCAGAGGCAGCTTACGGCCTGGCCTGGGCGTTTCTGGCAGAGGGGCCTGGCTTCGAGCCTCGGGGGTCCGCAGCACCGACCTGCCTCCCCGGGGGCTGGTTTCTCCTCAGGGCCCACTCCCCTTACCCCATACGTCACGGTGGCAGGGCCGGTCAGTGAGGCCCCATCCCGGGTGTGGGCACTGACGGGCGGGCAGAGCAGCTGGAGGGTCAGATTGCAGGCGCCTGCCCACCTCCTGGGGCCTGTGGGTCCCAGGGCAGCAGGCCGGTGTGCCTGTGGTGCCCCAGCCGGGCGCAGACCAGTCACTGCCACGTGTCAGCACTTCTCGAGCTTGTGGGCAGACCCCAGGGGCCTAGGAGAGCAGAGGGGTCCCCCGGGAGGGGCAGTTCACGCGGGTCCCTGGGTCCTCTCCTGCAGCGGGGCCCAGCAACCAGTGTTAATTTGGGGGCACTGGGGCGGCAGCAGCCCTCCCTTGGTGCTCTGGGAGCTCTGGGCTGAACATCTGTCTGTCCACGGAGGCCAGGCCGAGGTCCCAGCAGGCGCTTGGAGCCGCTGGGCCAGTGCTGAGCCTTGAACCTGCTGACAGGCTGCTGTGTGATCTGAAGCAAGATCCTTGGCTGCTCTGAGTGCCTGTGGCTCCTGCATCCACATTCATTCAGTGAGCACCTACTGTGTGCTGGGAAGTGGCCTTAAGTCCCTGGCATAACTGCTGTGGTGCACGGTCCTCAAGTATCTCCGGTGGGCGGTGTTCGTTCTGACACATAACGATGGCCCCGGCCTACCCTGACCCCACAGCTCCACTCTCCAGGCTGGGGTGCAGGGGAGGCCTCTTGTGGGTGATTTGGGGGTGGACGTCTGGTTGAGAACCTCAGGTGGGGTGGCCCAAAGACAGCAAAGTCTCCAAGTGCTGAAGGGACGGTCTCCCAGTCGGTGGGCACGAGGGCCAGCTGCCTGTCCGGCCTGGCCAATCCGAAGCCTCCGGCCTTGACCTCTAAGTGCGCGTTTTGTAAACTTCCCCAGCGTGAGTCACCCAGGGTGCAGTTATCACACAAGACTCCGGGGCCCCTCTACTGCAAAGGTTGGGTACGGGCCTTTGGGACCCACACCCGCCCGGGGGGCTTGGGACCCAGGCTTCTGGACACTCAGCTGGCCAAGAATCCCAGCCACGGCCCGTCCCTGGGCAGGAGAGCGCCCCTGCTCCATCCCGGACACACCCCCTGCCCAGGCCCCACTGGGTTCGTCCTCCCTGCCCTTGGGGAGCTGGAGGGGCTGAGAGTGCGCAGTGCATCACAGGGTGGTATGACCTGCAGCCAGTGGGCAGGTGCCTCACCAAGGGACCTGGCCGCGGCATGGCTGGTCTCTGGAGCTGCTCCCCGGAGGGGGTGGGGCGTGGGCTGGGGGCCTGGCCTTGTGCTCCTGGGAGGAGGGGCGCAGTCACCCGAGTCTTACTGGAATGATGTTGATGGTCCTTAAGCCTTTGGTCCAGGACTCTGGGGGCCAGCTGCGGCCGAGACCCTAGGTTGATATCCACGGGGGAGGGGCAGGGTCCCACGTGTGGCCCTGGATGAGGGGCCACTCTGGCGTCCAGGTTGCAAGTCCCCGTGTCATCCTGCTTTCCCCAGCTCCCTGAGCAGAGGTGGACCTCTGTGCACAGCAGCCTGACACCCACCTGCCCCTCGCCTCCCTCGGGGCTCCAGCCCTGCAGCTGTCTGTGGGCAGGGCTTTGGGAGAGAGAAACGGCGTACAGCCTGGCCAGCCGCAGGGTGGGCCTCGTCTCGGGACCGGGCCTGTCTTGGGACTGACTGCAGGCTCTGCCCACAAGGTACCTGCTGCACGAGGCTGCCCTAGACACCTGGCCCTGGGCTTTGGCCCCCAGGATGTTTCTGTTCCAGAGCCACGTCTTCTCACCTCTTTACAGGACGCCGGGGTGGCCTCTCCCCGGGGGAGGACGAAGAAGGAAGGTCCAGGGCAGGTGGGGACCTAGCCAGGGCCAGAGGCTGCCAGCGGGCACCAGAGACGCTTGGGCCCCAGGCCTGCCGAGCTGGGAGGGTGGGGGTGGGGAGGCCGCAAGCTCTGGCCGGCGGCAGGGCCCCTCCTAGCCGTGGGCCCGCCCAGGCCCGCTGCTCTCGGATGGGCGCTAGGCTGGAGGCACAAACGAGCCCCAGGGACGTGTGGGAGCCGAGGCTTGGCCACTGGTGTCCCACGGAGGACTGCAGGCCAGGCCGCTTCTCTCTGGGTCCCTGTGTCCACGCCAGTGGCCGTGCCCTCATCTGGGCAGACCGGTGGGTGAGCCTGGGGACTCTTGTCTCCTGTCCCCTTGGGGGCAGAACCACTCTGCTCTGGGGTCTGATCCCCGTAAGCCTCCTAGCTGAAGCTCCCTGTGCGAACTTCTCGCCCGGGCTCGGTCTCCCCAGCCTCTCCTCAAAGCGCAGGCCATCTGCCCCTCCCCTAGCTCCCCAAGGACGCGGTGCTGAGGTTTGCTCAGGGCCCCTCGGGTTTCCGCGTGGGCACGTTGGCTGGCCTTGCGCTCCCGGTCGAGGCTGGGCCAGGCCCTGGCTCCGCCCGTGAGTCACCCCTGTGGGGCCCTGTGAGTCCAGACCTTCCACACCGCAGAGGGCAGGACAGTGCAGGCGCCTGGGTCCCTCACCCTGAGCCTGGCAGGCCATCTCTCTGGCTCCAGGGCCACCCCAGCCTTCTGCCTGCCAGGGCCCTGCAGTATCACGTGTGGGGCTCTGCCAGGCCGGCCAGGGCCTCTGCCCCTGGGTGTAGGCCCACGTGGGCACAGCCCGGCTTCTCCGAGGGGCCCGGCCCCTGGTCAACCCACAGGCCGCGGTCGGGCCACGCCTTGTGCCTGGGGGTCCAGCAGGCACCCCTCGGCGGACAGGTTGCCGAGGTCCTTCCCAGAGAGAGTGGCCTTGGCTGGTGCCATCCCCGCGCCCAGAGGCAGCAGAGCTGGGGCACGAGCATGGACCCCACCCATCCCCCGACCCGCTGGTCTCCCTGGTCTCCCTCAGCTTCACTGTCCCATCCGAGAAATGGGAATGATGATGACGGCGCCTCATGGGGCTGTAGACAGAGAACCTGCTCGTGGTCTGCAACCCAGCAGCCAGGGTCCCGCTGGCCCTGTTTACCCGCCGGCAGGCGTGGGTGTGGCCTGGGCAGGGCAGCAGCTCTGGGAAGGAAGTGTCCGAGTCACGGGGCCCGCCGTGGCAGCCGCGGTGCCATTCCACCGGGCCGTCTGCAAGGAACCTCCCCCTCTAGGCTGCAGCCCACAGCCCTGTGGGCAGAGGGGGCATGCATACCAGGGCTGCTCACAGCCGAGGCTGCCTCCCAGTTTGATGTGCCTGGGCAGGGCGGCGTCGACTGCCAGACCCTGTCTGTGTCTGGTGGGTGCAGACCCGTTCCACCCAGGGGCCCACAGCTTAGTGCTGTGGCTCAGGTCAGGGCCTGGGTCTCTGGCCGTCCTGAACATGCAGAGATCCCCTGAGGATTGTGTGTGATCAGTGGGGCAAAAAGCTCCCTGAATGGGCCACAGCTGCAGTCTTCAGGGCCACCTGTCCCCAGCCTGTGTGTGCAGAGAGGTGGCCAAGGAGACTGCAGAGCCCCCCGGGCTGGCTGGCCGAGGGCACAGTCCAAGCCTAGGAGGGTCCTGGAGGGCAGCTGGGTTGGGGGGTGGGGGATGACGGGAAAGGGGCCGCCCAGGGGTCCTGCTCCTGGGGTCCCTGGGCCCCAGCTGGCAGGAGGGGCTCTGCACCAGCACAGGCAGGCTGACTGGGGGCACAGGCCAGGCTACGGGGGGGCGGTGAGGAACAGAGCCCTAGGAGGGGATACAGGCTGGGTCCTAGTGGGGTGACAGCCCAGGGGCCTGGGAAGGTGGGACGGGGTGCAGATGAGAGGGGGGTGTCAGAGTGAGCCCCCAGTTCATGGCCTGGGTGCCTGTGAATGGTGGGCAGGAAGTGGGTTTGGGGGAGGCCTTGGGAGAAACCCTCCAGCCCCAGATGTGTGGATCCAGCCTGGTGTGTGGGCCCCCTGGTGCATGTGTGTGCACATGTGTGTGGATGCACGCTTGCATGCATGTGCCTGGGTTTAGTTTTGCCAAATTCTCAGCCTGTTCTGAATGCCCACGAGGGGCTTGTTGAAGGGAATGAGCCAGGTGCGGGGTCCAGTGCCTGCTCTGATGCCTGGGGCTCGGGTGAGGTTTGGTGACACACCAGCCTGTTACGCCCCTGGGTGGGGGCTTGTCGCCCACACCTGGGCACAGGTAGACTTTTTCCGTGAAGGGCTGGTGGCCATGCGGTGTCTGTCACAGGTGCTCAGCAGTGCCGCAGGGGCCCTGCACGGGCAGCGGGCGTGGCTGTGTGCCAGTCACACCTGACTTACAAAACCTGGTGGCTGACTTGGCCTGGGGGCCGTGGGGTGTGGAGCCTCCGTGCCCAGTGCCCGACCCAGGGCCGGTGAGAGGGCGGCTGACAGTCAGGGCATGATCCTGGGACCCCCTTTCCCACCCCTGTTCCCCTGAAAGTCTCCGCCCATCCTGGTTTGGAAGTCACACATGCCTGCTTCCCGTGGTGGCTGCAGGAGCCGTGAGACGCGCCCCGTGTGCGGCCACCGCTGACAGACGTGGTCTGTGGTTCTTGTTGTTGCCATAGGTCGGCTGGGACGTGGGGGCCTGTGGCTGCGGGGCCGCAGTGGGTGCCAGTCCAGTGGGAACGGCTTGGTCCTTCCAGGGAGAGGGGCCCTTGAAGAGCCACATGCCCACGGGTGATGGGGGGGGGGGAGGGGAGGGATCGCCAGGGCTGCCCCCCACCCAGCGCAGAATCCCACCTCACAGGGGGCCAAGTCCCCTACTGCTGACCTGTGGCTGGACGCTCCCCCCAGGCTACTGCCATCTCTCTTTCTCTCTCTCTCTCTGTACCCCTCCCCCTCCCCCTTCTCCCTCAGTCACGGTCACAGGTCATAGGTCAGCCACCTGAATGAGCTGCATCCTCCATGGCCAAGCAGAGGACAGGTGGCCGTGGCCCTGGTTTGCTGGACCCTGTAGATGCAGATGAGTCATTTTTGAGAAATGACTTCTTTGAGAAACAGCAAAGCTCACTTATCTTTTCTCCCCTGATTGAATTACAAAAGGAAGGGAGACACTGAGGTACAATATTCTAATCCTCGTTTCTCTTAACTTGGCTAAAAGTCTGTTCTGTGCTTTAAAAAAAAGTGAAAACTAACAGCTTTTAGCTAAAGCAGTTCTTACAAATTAAATCGCACGTGTTTAAAGTTATGTGTGTCACCGCCGAAGAAAGGTGTAGCCTGTTTGGCCTTGGTTTTTCTTACTTGGAGCAAATGTGTTTTCCTGTGGCTCCCAGAGCAGCTTGCTGGTCAGATGTGACTTCCCGACATTCCCAGCACGGGGCCTGGGGGGTGACGGTCATTGGCTCTAGAAGGGCGCTACTCCCAAGCCATTTGATGCCGGGACACCTGAGTGGAGGCTGCCGGCTCCGAGCTTCCCGGGGAGAGAGTCCCGACTGGGGGGCCCCGGAGGTGCCAGCCACACGCTCAGGCTCAGCTGTGGGTCCTCGCGGGAGGGGGGCCTCCTGCTTTCTCTGGCCCTTCCCATGGGTCACGTGGCCTTATCGGTGCCGCCTGGCCCTCTGTGTCCTGGAGCTGGAGGTCCCGAGGGAAGGGGCTGGGAGTGCTGGCAGGAGGGGTGGTCCTTCCAGGTCGTGGTGGGCAGGGCTGGCCTGAGTGATGCCCTCACCTGAGAGCCGTGGAAACAGGTGGGCCCAACTCAGCATTCAGGAGGGAGCGGGCTCAGTCCCAGGCCCGGGGCTCAGGTTTGGTGGCTGACCCCTGTCCTTGCTGGGCCTGGCCACGAGTGGCCCCCACCCCCAGACACACGTCTGGCACCCGGGACCCTGGTCCTGTGGGCTGTCCTGGGACTGGGGGTCCTCCCAGGGACACACGTGGGGTCTTCCCTCTGGGAGTGCTTCCCTCAGGGAGGAGGAGCCTGAGGGGGTGAGGCTTGTGAGGAAGGGCCGCTGGCCACACAGCAGCCGGCCCCCCGCAGGCCAGGCCAGGCCCGCCCCAGGAGCCAGACCCCGTCCCCAGGCTTCCTGGGCCCCAGGCCTGCACCGGGTCCTGGGAGGCCTCCAGCTTGGAGCCCGCGTTCCGCTTGTTGCCACGAAGTGCGGTGTGGGTGCTCGGTGCTTGTCGGGCCATCGGTCTCCATGCGGGCGGGTCGGTGACTTCAGAGCACAGCGGGCAGCTGGGATGCCCCCGGGGCATGTGCTGGGCATGCTTGCCTGTGTTAAAGCCCGGAGATCCTGCCGGGCCCTCCAGAGTGGGGTCTGCTCACGGCGGCGTCCTCTCTGTCCTGACCGCCCCTTTCTGTCTCCCCACCACCAGGTCCGGCCTCTTCGGCCTGCCCCCGTCAGCTCCGCCGCCCCAGGCCCAGGACCCGCCTGTCAACGGCTGCCACGGGCCGGCCCCCACGGAGGGCGACACAGAGGCGATGCAGCTGGGGACAGGCCCCCCGCCACCTCCCAGTGGGGACCAGGTCCCTGGGACCGCCAGCCCCGAGCCGCCCCCGCTGCCCGTCGGAAGCCTGCCCCCGTTCCCGCCCTATTTTGAAGGCGCCCCCTTCCCTCCCCCGCTCTGGCTGAGGAACACGTACCGGCAGTGGGTGCCGCAGCCGCCCCCCCGGGGCATCAAGAGGACACGGAGGCGCCTGTCCCGCAACCGCGACCCTGGCCACCTGGCCCTGAGTCCCATCCGCCTGCGGCCCCGCCAGGTGCTCTGCGAGAAGTGCAAGAGCACCCTGAGCCCCCCAGAGGCCAGCCCCGGCCCCCCGGCTCCCCCCCGGCCGCGCAGGGAGCCCCGAAAGCCCGAGGACCCCAACGGTGGGGGTGACACCACCGCCAAGAGGGGGAAGAGGGAGAGGCGGCAGGAGGCGCGGGCCCGGGGGCCCCGGAGCCCGGGCATCAAGATCTCCTACAGCACGCCCCAGGGCACCGGCGAGGTGGTGGAGATCCCCTCCCGCGTGCACGGCTCGCTGGAGCCCTTCTGCCCCCCGCACGCCCCGCCCGGAGGCCCGGACCCCGAGGCGCCCGCCTCCCTCCCCAAGCTGAAGCTGACGCGGCCCCTGCCCCCCAGCGCCGCCCCGCCGCCCCCCAAGATCCGCCTGAAGCCCCACCGCCCGGGGGCTGGCGAGCAGGAGCCCGTCTACAGGGCTGAGCTGGTGGAGGAGCTCGAGGGCTGTGGCCGCGGCCCCCGGGCCGGCTCGCCCGCGCCCCTGGCTGGCGGCTCTGCCCGCTCTGGGCTGGCGGACTCGTCTTCTGGAAGTTCCGGCGAGGACGACGACTGCAGGGGGTGTCCCCGAGGGGAACACGGGCGTGACGGCCTGGCTTTTCTTGCCGCCTGCCCCCGGAGAACTGGCTGTGCCGGCGTGTCGGTGTGGAGCAGCGACAGCCTGGACGAGTCCAAATCGTCCAGCTCGGAAGTGACGTCACCAGACGTGTGTGACCTCTCGTCTGGCGACGGCGCGTCTGTGCCGGCCTCGTCCAAGGACGCGCGGCCAACGGTCCCACCCCTGACGGTCAGGCTGCACACGCAGAGCGTCTCCAAGTGCGTTACCGAGGACGGAAGGACCGTGGCCGTAGGGGACATCGTGTGGGGTAAGGTTCATGGTTTTCCCTGGTGGCCAGCACGTGTCCTGGACATCAGTCTTAGCCAGAAGGAGGACGGCGAGCCCTCCTGGCAAGAAGCGAAAGTCTCATGGTTTGGTTCTCCAACTACATCGTTCTTGTCTATTTCAAAACTCTCCCCTTTCTCTGAATTTTTCAAACTGAGATTTAACCGTAAGAAGAAGGGAATGTATCGGAAAGCTATAACAGAGGCTGCCAATGCCGCCCAGCACGTGGCCCCGGAAATAAGGGAGCTCTTAACCCAGTTTGAAACGTAACTCGGGTTCCGACCAGGTGAGTGTGTGCGTGGAGGGCGGCCTCTCTCCGGCCGTCCCGAGCCCGTGTCTGCATCTGGGCTGTCCCTCCGCCCTGGGCCTCGGTGAGCCAGGGGGACGCGGACGCCCCTGGCCATCTGGCTCGCTGCTCCGAGGGGGGCCGTCTGGACAATCGCCCCGCTTGCTGGCAACATTGTCCAGCTTTTTGATTCACAGAAGAGGTGCTTTAAAAGCAGGCGAGTCGTCAGCCACCTGTTCAGAGAACAGAGCTAGTTTGTGTTTTGCGGCCATTTTGCAAAGGACCGTAAAAGGTCTCCTCGCTCTTTTCGTTTCCCTTTGGAGAAAGGAGAGGGTTTTAAAGGTGGCGGCTTTGACTGAGGGGGCGGTGGTGAGCGCAGGGAGGGGCTTCCTCTGTTACTCACTCTTCCCAGGCTGCAGCCGGGGCCTCCCTCCCTCCCCTCCCCAACCTCCTGTTCGCAGGCGAGCGTCCAGGGGTCTGACTTTGCCAGAAGGACGAAAGTCGCCGAGCTGCCTGCCCTCAGAGGTAGCGCCTACAGCCCAGCGCTGCTCTGCTGCTGCCAGCGGGGGCTCCCCGCCATCAGCCGGCACGTGGTTCCTGGACATTGGTGCCGGGGGCTCCGGGCTCCAGGCTTCAGGCTCCCGGTGGCGGGGCCGGTGCTCTGGGATCTGTCCCTGGGCCAGTGCCTCGCCCTCCGTCTCTGCCCCCAGGAGACCTTTGTAGGATCTCCAGCCACAGGCCTTATGGAGCCTCTGTGGGGTTCGGGGTGTCACCAGCTGGGGTTGGAAGCATCACCTTGTGCAGTTGCCGTGCCACCAGGTGGGGTGGGGCATCACCGTGTGGCATGTCTGGCGGGGTGTCTGGAAACGGCCGAGGGGCTGAGGGCGTCTGCCGTGAGCGTCCCCTGGGCCCCGAGGTGCAGGGAGATGTGGGCGTGCTCTCATCTGATGGCTGCCACCAGCTCTGGCCTGGGCAGCGGGGTGTGTCCAGCGGGTCACTGGCGCTGGTGGCCACTCTTCCCAGGTCTGACTGCCCCCTCTGTCCTCCCCTGGTTGGTCCCGGGCAGGCCATGGTCCCCCGAGGCTCCAGGCTGCTTGGGTGGGCCAGAGGGGACACGACAGGGTCCCCTGTGAGGGGCAGCCTGTGGGGTCAGTGCTCTTCCTGGCCCGGTGACCTCGTGCCCACGCCCACAGAAGCAGACGGCATGGCACGGGGCTGGCCCGGAGGACGAGCTGGGCCTCTGCCTTCACCTCCGGACCCTCGGGTGACCTTGTGTGGCCTGGCTGCCCTGCTCACCCACCTGTCTGTGCCAGTTTCCCGGGTGACGCGAGTTTGCAGGGCTGGGCAGGGCCAGCTCACGTGGCTGGGGAGGGGCTTTGTGGAGTGCTGGTGCCCGCCCCGTGCTGTGCCGGGTCCACCGGGGTCCTGGGACTGAAGAAGCAGTGATGAGGGGCACGTCGGGGCCGGGGTCCCTGCCGGGGCTCCTGAGGCCTTGTCCCCACCTGCTTCCCACGTCACCTCCTGCATGGCTCCTCGGATTCCGGGCACGAACTTCTCCTGTTGGGAACCAGGCACATCGGCCATCAGTTCTGGCCTTCGTGTTGGGGCGTGGGCGTGGCACCGACCTGGGGGCATCCAGGCAGCTAGGGTCTCAGGTGAGGGCGGCCAGCTCACCTGAGGGGCAGTGGTCCAGAAAAAGTCCAGATGCCCTGGCATCGGGCTTCCTAGGGCATCTCCCTGCTGTGGCCAGGCTTAGGGGCACCCCTGGCTGCGGCCGCGTCCCGCTGGCTTGGGGACCACCGGGGATCGGGGGGGCCCTGCCTCTCTCTGTGCCCTTCCGGTCCTGGCCCCGCCCCTTTGCTCACAGGGCCCAGCCCGTCTTTGGCCTGGTGTCAGGCAGCTTGCCCACGTGCCCCTGCTGTGGGCAGAGATAGCCCCATGGGTTCAGGGCTCTGTGTATCAGGAAGCAGAGGAGGAATCTCGCCGGACGGGTTTGCCTGCTGCGGGGGCCTGTGCCCCCCGCCCCCGTGGGGTGTGGAGCTTTGGGAGCGTGGCGGGGCGGCCTGGATCCTCTCGGCGCCAAAGCACCAGGTGGTTTTGGCTGATGGGCTTTTGGGTTTTGTTTCTTGAGGCTTAAAGACTGAGCTGAGGGCTTCCCTGGTGGTGCAGTGGTTGAGCGTCCGCCTGCCGATGCAGG